CATCATGATTCTTTGCTTGATTTGGCATCGTGGCAATTCACAAAGTTTGATTTCACTAAATCAAACTCTGCCTTTTACAAAATTTGACCTAAATTTATATTTGATAACAATCCACTTAACATAGTAACACATATTACTAATTAAAAACTATTAAAATAAAGGAAATATTTACTTTATTTAATTTAGGTAATATTAAATTACAAGGAAATAATTCTTGAATAAATCTTTTCTTACCAGGAAACAATTGTTCAAACTATTTACTTGTAAGGAAATTACATTATTGATAATTGTCACACTTATTAAACTAATGATACTTGTCACACGGGTTGTTTTATTTCAAAACAAACCTTCAACCTAACTAGTTATTCAGTTAGAGTAATTTTCCTCCAACTGGCCCTCCAAGCTTTGTATTGGTCAGATATCTTAGTTAACTTATCTAAATTTTTTAATTATCTTTGTCAATATAAAAATATTTGGTTTTTTCACAGTTGTTCTGTTTTCAGATAAATAAATATTTTTATTTTCTATGTAGGTATCCCTAGAAATCCTTCTTAACCATTTCTTTAGAATTTTTTTGCATTCTGGCAGTAGTTTATACCTTAAGAAATGTTGGTATATTCACGGTATGCATACATGGCCGTCAAGGGAGCCATGGCCTGCCCACTTTTTTTTGACGAGGACCTTTTATTTTAGAAATATAGGCAACTATTTTAGAATATATGGATTTTATTTTAGAAATTGAGGAGTTGACCGCCTCCACTTCTAAAATAAAATCTGTGTCAACGCCATTTGCATAAGCCAATTCTAATCACGCTTTAAGTAGCAAATCACTATTTTGGTCTATAAAATGAAAACTGTACATGTATCGATAAAATAATTATAACAAAAATTGTTGGTATTACATAGTAGAACACTCATGTAACCGTTATTTTAAAAATCGTGACCGAATTTCCAAGTAATCAGTAACGCTATGAGGTATAAGTAGCAAAAAACTGACAAAACTTCAACTAAAACTGCAATAAATCCAACACCAGTCATCCAATAAATGGCTGAAATTTTGTCCCGAGTTCGGTGTGACTATTAGTTACATTTGCACCAATTTTTATCAAATTATATTGAGTGGTTTAAATTCTACAAGTGTTTTTATTGGCGCACTATGAAGTCAAAATTTGACTTTATTTGAACATTCAAATTAAATTATTTCAAAATTTGCATTACAGAGTACCTTGATGTGTACGCTAACTTTCCGTATAAGTGGCGTTCTGGGGACAGCTAGGTAGGCATTATAAGGATCCGTGTTAACCGTATATATATATATATATATATATATATATATATATATATATATATATATATATATATATATATATATATATATATATATATATATATATATATATATATATTACTATATATATATTATTATATAATATATATATGATAATCAATATATATATATATATATATATATATATATATATATATATATATATATATATATATATATATATATATATATAGCATCCTAGTTGCTATACATTCCCACAAAAGTGTCAACTTCACTCTTCATTAATTTTGGTCAATAATTTTTTTTTTTTATTAAGATTGTGTACGTAAAACTTTGTATAATAATGATCATGATAATTTCAACCCTCGGAATTAGGAAAAATCAGATCGGCAAAAAAAAATTTGATACAAAGGGGTTACATAAAAGATAGAAGCCAGGTCAGCAAAAAATCACCAACCTCAAACACTTTAATGTCAGCAGTAAGGTCGGTATCGTCAAATGCCAACCCTAATTCTGAGGGTTGTGATTAACATATTTTACAACAAGGTGAGACTGTAAGTTCTGTAAATTATTTGAAAATTTTAAAGTACTTCACAGTGTATTGGTTTTGTATTAAAAAGTTTGACTATTTCATGCATAAATGAGCAACTTTCTTTGAGGCAAAAATTGCCAAGATATGACTAACAAAATGAGGTTAATGTTTCTTCCACATGGATAGGCAATTACTATGTTTGAACCCCATTAAAACTGTTGGGTAAAATTGAAATCAATTATTTATTAACAAAAAACAACCTCACTGGCAGATCTGAAAAAAGCCCTAATTAAAGCATGGTGTTGAGGCTATTGTAAAAGTTTGAGGAGCCCAAACAAAGTATTGAAATATATTTTAAACTTAGCAAATAGATTTTATAATGAATTTGAACTTTTATAGGATTTTATAAAGACAACAAATACAAAAATAAACAATTTTATTTAATTATTTTATAATAAACTCAGTTTCCATAAGAAAAACTTTAAATTAAATCACAACTAAGTTCTTTAAATTAGACTGCATTTCCATCAATGTGACCACCTCAACAACCCCAATTCATAAAGTTGTTACCCCAGTGTTAAATCATTTGCAGTATGCAATCATTCAGCATCCTTTCTATAGATAGATGACAAATAAAAAACTGTTTATTGGTTAAAATTTCAAGCATTGATTCATCTGACCAAATAACACTATCTGGTATTCTTCTGCCCAATTCAATCTTCAATGTTCTTTTTGTACTGATTCTCATTACAATGTATTCATTGAAATCAGTGGCAATTGCTTGGTTCTGTCGAAGATTTTGCATGGAACTCATCACTGTGTGCCGCTCTCACTACTTTTCTTGTGGTGAAATGGAGTCTTCCAGATCATTTGCTGTTGTGAAGCAATCTAGTTTTTTCTTTTTGTTTAATTGATTTTCACACACAATACTCTGATATGCCGACACATGCAATATTTAAATTGGAAAAGCCTGAACCATATAAAGCATATATTTCTCTTTTTTCTTCACTTAACTCCTTTTTTCTACACTTAACTCCTTCTTTTTTGCTGTTTTGATGATTAGAATTAAATCAAAAAAAACATCTTATTTACTATCATTATAATGATATAATTAATTATTAAACTTATCTTTATCATAATAATTAAAGTTATCTTTGTGTTAATTTGTCTGTATCTGCTAATTTTTTATATTTAAAATTTCTTGACATAAAGAAATGTAAGTGCGGTTTAACTTGTGGAGGGTGTTGTATATATATATATATATATATATATATATATATATATATATATATATATATATATATATATATATATATATATATATATATATATATACTCTTGCATGTCTCTTGCATGGCATCAAAAAAAGTTTCCCATAAACTGTAGTTTTAAAGACCGCGTTAATAAACCAGACCAGAAAAAGTTTTAAAAATTAATTTTTTTTTTTTAATTGATAGACTGCCTGGCCAAACCAAACCCTCAGTCGATGTAGCAGCACTCTCTTGCGAGTCAGGCTATTTGTCAGTCGTTGTAGCAGCACTCCCTTGCGATTCAGGCTATTTGTCAGTCGATGTAGCAGCATTCCCTTGCGAGTCAGGCTATTTGTCAGTCGATGTAGCAGCACTCCGTTGCGAGTCAGGCTATTTGTCAGTCGATGTAGCAGCACTCCGTTGCGAGTCAGGCTATTTGTCAGTCGATGTAGCAGCACTCCGTTGCGAGTCAGGCTATAAGATAGTCGATGTAGCAACATTTACGCATGTTTTAAAAATGTTTTTTATTAAATCAATAGCAAAAACACCACTAATTTAAAAAAACTTTCTAGTCGTTATAATTGCGGTTTTTTAAAAAATTTTTAAAAAACAATTAAATATAATGTACTTCCGCATAAATTAATTGCTTTGATATTTCGATGACAATCAAAAACAGCTTAAGAGACGAGGTAATTAAAATTGTAGTCGTAAGAGACTTTTTTTTTCATTAAAACGCTCTTTCGACTACACTATATGGGTATATATATATATATATATATATATATATATATATATATATATATATATATATATATATATATATATATATAAACATATAAATATGCTAGTATATAAAAAATACCATATGTATACATAAATATATATAATGTATTATACATTTCATCCTAGCCCTAGCTAATAATCCATGTTAATATAATTTTTTAACTAGGGTTTTAAAAACTTTCAAATTTAGTTAGGGTAGAGGCTCTAATCACGTACTACCATCAACAAAAAGCTACAAGCATTTTAAAGAAACTCAAGAATTAGGAGAAAAAGGTTTTATGATTCTAATTGTAGCAAAATTTATTCCTCTAGTCTTATCCCTTTTGTAAAAAATTTCTTCATTTTTTGTTAAAGAAGTAAGCTAGCTAGCTTTCATAAATGTTTTTTCTCAAACTCTTAATATCTTATATTATGAATTTATGCAATACTTTTTGACTACAAGAAACATTAATAAGTTAAAAAAAGTGGTTTAAATAAACTTTGAATTAAATAAAAGTTTCAAAATCTCTAACATGATTTCAAAATCTCTAACATGATTTCTAGACAAATTAACAAGTAGTTTAAAGATATTATTTGATATCAACAATAGACAATATCTAGTTCATATACTGCTAACATAGTAGCTTAAAACAATGGTAGCAAATTTATAAATATATCCTTAATACTTTTTTTTTTTTTTTATGTTTATTTTCATTTATATAATAAAGCATTTCATTTTATAAAATAGCATTTCATTTTAGTATTTTGGAAATAGTAACTTATAATTTATTCAATTATATAAGATATATAGATTTTTAGATTTGAATTTTTAAATAAAATAATTAAAAGAACAACAACAGCAACAAAAAACTTGAAAAAAAAATCTAATTTTTTTTTTTTGCTGACCACAAACTTTTAGGTCGGCATTGCCAAATGCCAATCGTAATTCCAAGGTCTGCATAATGTTAGTTATACCAATGAAAGAACTAGATAAGTAAGATAAAAAAAAGAACTAGATAAGTGACCTTAAAAATCTCAGAAGCAGTACAAAAAATTATTCATTTTTGAATTCCATTTTTGAAATCCATTAATAAATGTATGAAAATAAGTTACAAGTTCTATTTTTATAATTAATAATTAGTATTTCATTTTGAATTTTTTCACATAGAGTTCTAATGATACTTTCCCAACTGCCATGCATATAGCATGTGGTCAAGTAGTAAATGATGTTTTACTTCCCGGTTTACGCAAACTCTACCTCTCGTTGAATAACAAATCAAAAGAATTTCATGATATTGTCAAAATTGGACGAACCCATACACAGGTTTTTTGTTTTGTTTTTAAAATTAAAATAGAGTTTTAATATGTTAATTTTTAAATAATTTTTTTTTTTTTACAAGGATGCTACTCCTCTCACACTTGGTCAGGAATTTAGTGGATATGCAACCCAGATAGAGTATGGAATTCTGCGTATTGAAGCAGCTTTACCTCGCATATATCAGTTAGCAATAGGTGGTACAGCTGTAGGAACAGGTTTGAATACAAGAATTGGTTTTGCTGAAAAAATGTCTGCAAGAATTTCAGAGTTAACATCACTCCCATTTGTTAGGTTACTTGTTTTTCTATTATTTTTAAATCACATAGTAAATCACATAGTAATAAACTATGTAATTAGTGACATAAACTATATAAATAACTTTGGTCATTTAGATTTGAATATCACTGGTGAAGATCTGATGGCTCTTAAGATGTTTATAATTTGTTTTGTTTTTTGTTATATGCCCTTGGCAGGTTGTGACTGATATGGTCTAGGGCAGCAATTCCCAACCATTCCAATGACATGACCTCTTGATATTATTTGCCAAATTGTGGCGACCCCAACAATAAATTTGATAAAGTTGCTATTGAATCACTGCATTTTTGCAGCTATTATGTTTTTTGACTTTTGATTTTATTTAAAGGCACCATTTTTTTGTTACAATTTTTTAACTCATTTACAGGGGTTATCTTTTTCTGGATATTTCTGGAGTTTCAGATATTTCTTTAAAATTTTATTTTTTCCAAATATCCAAATAGATTTCTGGAAATAGTTTAAAATATTTTTGTCATCCAATAAGTAAGACAGTAAAGGTATCGTTCATCAATTAATCTATTCTATATTTAGTTAGGTCACACATTTTTTGTACACATGCACAATTAATTTTTTCCTTATTTGTACGCATATATTGATTATTATTAATTTTTTTGACTATTTTACCTAAAAATCTAGTTTAATTTATTTTAATATTTTTTTTACATTAATTTATAAAGTTTATATAAGATTGAAATACTTTTATATTCTTAAAACTTTTATATATTAATTCCTGTCAAAACCTAAATCCTCAGTCGATGCATGTTCACTCCACTACACCTATATCTATTTAAGTCAGTTAATCTATGTACACTTTGCTGTAACTACCATTTCACTTTATGTACATATTGATCCACATATTCTATAAAAATTTTGAAAAAAAAAAAGATAAAAAATAATGGTAGTTGAAAAACATAAACCTACTTTGAAATAAAACTTTTTTTAAAAAGCAATAAAAAAAAGCAACTTCTCTATAGAGAAATTTAAAAGGTTTTGAAAAAAAAACAGCTTTTATATGGAGGACTTGAACTCGTTACCATAATCAGTCATGCCTCTTTGGGCTCATCACTAAAAACTTTTTTTTCATACTCAGCTGTCTGGTATTCCATGTTGTTCTGTAGGTCGAAATAAACTTATTGTGCTAAAATAAATGAAATTGCATCATATTTAGAGGTCCCCCGGGCTATGAAAACTTTCTCCATTACAGACCATGGAGACTTACTACAGCTCTATTTACGTAATAAATAATAGTTATTCTTTGTTAGCCATGTTTGTTGGTGTTTTTAGATAAATAAATGTTGTCTGCAAGTTCTAAAAGTTTAGATTAATCAAAAGTCAAAAGCTTGCCAATACAAGATTTGGGTAAGTTCTAATTTTGTTTGCTCAGAGATAACAAATGTTTTCACAGTAGTTTTTGCTTAAACCGACTTACATAAATGAGCTCAGTATTCACATTTTTTCACAACTGGCGACAACTGCATAATTGCATGTTAGACTCAGATAACATTTTGATTGTTCAGTTTGACGCACATAAAAAAAAGCTAACTGCATAAAGTGGTATATTAATTTTGTAGAGTGCAATATGGATGAAAACATGGAGGTTGAGGTGACAGAAATAAGTCCCACTACAACCTCTTCCAAAGACAAGCAAGTAGTGCCACTGCAATCTGGTTCACCGAATGCCTCTGGAAGAACACCTCTACCTTTAAGAAGAAACCGCAGACTCACTAATCTATCGAGTTGTTTGGTTTAGGGCCTGCTATTTGAAAACTGATTAATCTATCACTGGTATTCGGCTGCCCACCTGCTTGCAAGTCTTAAGGTGAAGAACGTATGATAAAATAGTGAAACTCCTTGATGATAACAATAAACTCTGCTCAATTGATAAAAGTCACCGTGAAACTCCAGCTACGCTTGAGGCAATGCAGTCTTTATTGGCATCAACATTTTAACTGTGGCCGGCATATGTGGAAACATTAGTGACAAATGCAGATGACCTGGCATTTTTGCAGTTAATGAAAGTGGACAGGCTGCCAGCTTTGGTACATTCAACAAATCACTAGCCAAAAAAATATTCAGGTGTATTCAATGTTGCAAAGCTGCAGCATTGAATCATCTGAAGCATTTACGTATTGACATTGAATCAACAACCACAACAGTATCTTCAGAAGTTTTGGTTGATGAAGAGAGTAATACTAACTTCACTAAAGAGTCAGAGTCTTTTTCTTCTTCAGAAGATAATGGCAATATTAAAGCAGAAGACGGGAATCAAATAGTTCATTAAACGAAAACAAATGGAACAGTTGCTTTCATACCTCCAGATGTGCTTAGCCAAACAAATCAGGTGGCACTTGTTACCAAACTGAACCATTACTAGTTGTCTCCAATCAGTGCAAGAAGTGTGTTCCTTTACCACATTTGTAGCTCGTGTATATGCAATTGTGGCTTACATGCAAGAAAACTGTAGATGATCGTGGAATGATCTTCAGCTGTCCAAACATCTACTAGCTTATGAGACTGTTGATAAGCTCATTTCGCACTATGCAATTTGAGCACTAAATCATTATCTCTGGTATTTGACTGCCGAGATGGTACCACTTGCTCTATTCAGTACCTGTGTACCGTTGAATGTGAGACAAGCAATTGCTAATGCATTGCTACAATTCAGACCACAATCATTGTGTGACCTGCAAACTCCAGTCTATTGATTTGGTAATAGATGGGCTAAGCCTACTTTCCCATCATCATCCAACAGCTTAACACAGCTTTATAAACTTATTGGAGAGGTCTCTTGGTTTACCATATATTAACTGCAGATAGACACCAGCTTTCTTGAACTCCTCGGTAGTGAGTGGGAAAGCTCTGCGGTATACTTGAACAGTGCAAAGAATGTTGCTAAAATGAAGACTCAACAGTCAACAACACTAAATTTTAGTATTGAAAATTTAATTTGACTTCAAAAACAGAAAAAAACATTTTATGTGTTCTTTTTAACAACAAAGAAAATGCTTGTTTATTATTTTGTACATAGTTATACGATTTATATATCTATAATATGTAGTTATGTATGACCAATCTTGAATAAGGACCAACTTTTCTCAATCTTGGGCCTGGTGCTGGCCTTATAATTTTCCTGCAGTCTGTCTAGACTAATATTAACAGTGTTGCAAAGATCAAGATTAGTTTTAAATTATTTTTTGGTGCATATTAGAATGCTTGCTTACGCTCCTGTAAACACTACGCTGCTATTTTACTAATTTAAAAATAAAAATATTTAAACATTTTTTGCGTGCAAATAATGTTAAGGTTTTGTGCATAATGTTAATATTATTTTTTTATATTAAATAATTCATTTTTAATAACATATTAAATAATATAACAATTTATGCGTACAAATAATGAATTTCTGTTCAAACATAATATATTCTTTGTTACACAAAACGCATTTTTATTTCTGGGTTTTTTCGGATACTTTTAGGGAAAAATTTTCCGGATTTTCAAAATATGACCAGGATAATTCCTGGATTTATAATTATCTATTAACAAAAAAATCATGTTTTGGTAAATATTTGCAAAGGAATAAAATGTTTACATTGTAAACATTTTATAAAATGTTTACAATGTAAACATTTTATAAAGCCTCAACTTTAAAGTTTCGATTGTGTGTTATTCCTAATTGTATTTTATACAATTATAACTAGGAGTAACCACAATCACCTAATTGTATTTTATAACACACAAACTCCTTATTGTATTTTATACAATTAGGAGTAACATTGCACAATACCCACTAAAAATAACTTTACAATTTTAGGTGTGTATTGTGCAATGTACATAATGCAGTTAGGAGTCACACACAATCAAAGCCATTAACTTTAAAGTAAACGAAGCCATTAATTTTATTAAACTGTAATGACTGTAGTTAGAGTAGGAGTATCGCTTGAATTTAAAATGATATAAAGAAACTATTGACTAGAATAAACAAATTATTTTCTGAAGGTCTAATGGTGGCCCCTGGTAAATTGTCATTTTAAAAAATGTTACACTTTAAAATTTAACATTTTTAAGTAAAATTTTTTAAACAGTAAGATTTTTAAAAGATTGATATTAACTTAAAACATAAACTTGGATATGTTTATACTTTTATCGAATAAAGATGTTTTGTAAAAATTACAATAACTGATGTCTAGGAACTCATAATTCCAATCTTGTGCTCCTTTTTTCTACTCACCCTTATCCAAAATGTGAGGGTGATAAGTTACTTTATGCAAGGGCAATAAGTTACAGGGTTTTACATTAATACAGTTTTTAAATAAATTTGTATTTAATAACATATTTTAAAATTTCATCTAGTAATATTTTAATGTTCCAAAAGCTATGACTATGTAAAGTTTCTACTATACCCAAAATGAGAGGGTCAAAAGTTTTACCATAAGTTTGTAATACCATGATATCCAAACTTAATTATTAAATTAAAATAACATGTTTACTTATTGCATGATGAGTTTAAATGTATTATTGGTATCATGGTATTATGGATAACCTTGGTATTATGGGTAACCTTGGTACAGTCAGGTTTAATAAATAATAATAGTTTAATTAGTGCCTAATTTACGAACCCGGTTTTGATTAAAAAAAAAATTAGTTTCCCATGCCAAAAATAATAAACCTATTTGAAAGTCTGCTGTTATTTTTGTATCTTTTTTTGATCTGGATATCAAAAAATAGTGCTATCTTATTTTTAAAATTATTTAAAATTATGGTCAGAGCACTGTAAAATGTTTGAAATAATAAAAATGAGCCTAAAAATCAAATTTTTATTAATTTAAATAAAGCTTTTATTGTGTTTATGATTAATCAAAATAAAACTCTAAGCATTTAATTTTTTTTTACATTCAATTTAAAAATTTAAAAAAATTTAATTTTTTTACTTCGATGTGTTATTTTTTTTTATTAGTGCTCCAAACAAATTTGAAGGGTTAGCTGCCCATGATGCATTGGTTGAACTACATGGTGCATTAAACACTGTCGCATGTAGCATTATGAAGATTGCAAACGATATTCGTTTTCTGGGTTCTGGTCCCAGATGCGGTTTAGGAGAACTTTCTTTACCTGAAAATGAACCAGGAAGCAGTATTATGCCAGGTAAATTATTTGATTTTTTAAAATTAAATTAATATTAAGATCTAACATTCAATAAAATTTAGATTTGCTATTTGATAAAATTTAGGTAAAGTTAACCCTACTCAATGTGAAGCCATTACCATGGTTGCGGCTCAGGTGATGGGAAATCAAGTTGCGGTAAGCGTTGGCGGTAGTAACGGACATTTTGAGTTGAATGTTTTTAAACCAATGATGGTAAAAAATGTTTTGCAATCAGCTCGTTTACTTGGTGATGCATCTGTTGCGTTTGCTGATAATTGCGTTAATGGTATAAAAGCTAATCGTGAAAGGATTAATAAGCTACTTCATGAATCTTTAATGTTAGTCACAGCTTTAAATCCTTATATAGGTTATGATAAAGCTGCAAAAATTGCTAAAAATGCACACGCTAATGGATTGACCCTGAAACAATCAGCGATTGAGTTAGGATATCTAACTTCAGAGCAGTTTGATGAATGGGTCAAGCCTGAAAATATGCTGGGTCCCAAATAGTTTTGTATTAGGTTAATGAATATTGAACAATAATTTTGAAATATTTTTTGTTATTTTTTTTCACGACGGAATTTTAGACTTGTCCTAGGATAAAACAATCGGTCAATACTTTTATTTAAAGTTACTTATATTTACCCATAATTACAATCTTGGAATCCATGATGAAAATTTAAAGACTAGTTTTATGTATGAGTGGAGTAAGGAGCATGTAAATTGACATAGAAAATATCAATTTCTGTAGATGCACAACTATAAATAATTTAGGTTTTATTTAGAATTAGCCCGTTTTGCAGATGGGCTCCTCAAATATTTGTTCCGGATAATAGGATAGAACTAATTTAAAATGTAAAGAAGAGGGCCCCACAATTTATTGTAAGAAAAATGGAGACCTTCTAGTACAAAATTTTATAGAGTATGATAAACAAAATAGAAAATCAGTAAATAGAGAAAAAGTTTCATGGATAATGCATGGCGTTAATTTTTGGCCAAAAATCTCCGAACTCGAATTATTCGCGCGACTATAAAAACTAAGTGTCGTGTAGATGGAATATTTTTCCCGTTCGGTTTAGTCTACACTAAAAAATGCAGTTAAGTAACCAAGGTTCACGGCTTAATTGGTCTATAAGTGAATGTGTTAATATGTTAAAAAATAAGTTATGTTTTTTGTTCCTGAAAGAATATATGTATTTTTACATTTTTTCGTATTATTTAAATCATGATAATAAGTCTACAAAAAATGCTTGATAAACCAGAGTCACTGCCATACACATAGTTTTACATATGAAATTGATACTTGCATTAATATCTTTATTTTAGCTAGAAATTTTGAAAGTTAATACATTTATCATTGAGATATCGTATTTTTTCTTGTAAAATTGACATTTTTAATTTTCAAAAAGTCTTTAAACCTAATATATAATATAATATAATAATTGCTGTACAAACTATTAAAGTTTGGTGAGTCAAAACAACGTAGTGTATTGACTGTTACAGCCGTTAAATGTAAAATTTTAAAAATAGAATAAAAAGTTCCTAAATAAAATTTGGTATCAAAAGTTCAAAATTTTCTATTTTTGAACGTGTTTTTGTTTGAAGAATCGATTGCATCTTGTGACGATAAATTCCAATCGTCGACCACTCTATTTGTTAAATAATAATACCTGGATGATTTTTTAGTATATTGTCGATGAAGTCTTTTATTATGACGATATCTGGACATGTTGTTGTAAAATTCTAAAGGCTCTTCAAACCTTATATATTCAGTTGAATTTAATATTTTAAACATTTCTATAAAATCGCCCCTTCTCCTTTCTTGTAAGGATGGTAAACCTAATATTTTTTTCCTTTCTTCATAGCAGATGCCTTTCAGTGATTCAATCCTAGTCAATCTACGCTGTACCTTTTTGAGTCTCTTAATGTCTTTAATACAATATGGGCTCCATACAGATGCTGCATATTCTAGCTGTGGCCTAATAGTTGACTTGTATAACAGCTTCAAAATGGTAACATCAAGATATTTAAATCCATGTTTTGAAAAACCCAGTGTTCTATTTGCCTTATTTGCTACACTGATAATATGATTTTCCTATTTGAGGTCATTTGATAATATTACACCTAAATTTCTTTCAACTTCTATTTTTTGCAAAATATGATCTCCTAACTTGTAGCTAAACTGAGGATTCAAATGTAAAAGTGTAAAACAATGTGCATTGTTTTACACTTTTCTCCATTGAATTTAATTGACCACTTATTTGACCAGTCTAATAACTTATTTAAATCTTCTTGAAGAGCACTGCTGTTACTTTCATTATTAATTACTAACATTATTTTTGTATCATCTGCAAATAATTCTAATTTATTTAGTATGTTAACTTTTAAGTCATTTATAAATATTATAAACAGAAGTGGACCGAGGACTGAACCCTGGGAACTCCACTTGTGACTTCCTGCCAATCTGAAACAAACTCACCCAGAACAACTCGTTGTTTTCTATTACTAAGAAATGATTTACACCATTGTAAGATATAAGAGTGAAAACCATAACCATAAAGCTTGCAGCATAATTTTGATAAAGAAACGGAATCAAAGGCTTTTGCAAAGTCCAAAAAATGTTATATCAATATTATTACCAGCTTCTATTTTACTTGTTATAAAATCTAAAGTCTCTAATAAATTAGAACAACAATTTTTACCATTAACAAATCCGTGCTGTTCGCTTGCTATTAACTTATTTAAAGCTAAATGGTTCATCATAACATTGTGAATAATTTTCTCCATAGCCTTGCATACTTTTGATGTTATTGATATCGGTCGATAGTTTGAAGGATCTAACTTATCTCCTTTCTTGAATAGTGGAGTTATGTTTGCAGTTAACCATTCGTTTGGTATAACACCACTATAAAATGACATTTTAAAGATTTGTGATAAGGGATGAGAAAGTGATTTTGAACATTCTTTGAGAACACGAGGATGAACTTTATCAACACCAAATGTTTTATTAACATTAAGGTTTACTAACTGATATTCAACGTCATTGTCATTAAAACTTGGATCGCTACAATAAAAATTACATTTTGAAGGAAAAGTTACATGTTCTTATACCTCAAATAACAATTTTAAAATTTTTCACTTTACAAATAGCAATTAAATAATAGCAAAATCTAAAAGTTTAAATTCTCCTTGGATTACCAAGGGTTTTTTGTTTTTAGAAAATTAGTTTTCTAAAAACAAAAACAACTGCAAATGAAAAAATTTACAAAAATTATAAATATTTATTTGAGAAAATTCGTAAAAACTTAAAAAATTATTACTCGGAACTACTTAACAAATTCAAATATAACACTAAGCGCATTTGGGAAATAATGAAGGTAATTATAGGAAAACAAAAATCATGTTTTGGTTTTCTGCCACATATGATTTAAACTGAAAACACTTATATTTAAACCAAACGTTATATCACATGAATTTACAGAAATAGGTCCTAAACTATCAAATAAAATTTTTATCACCAGAACTTTGTTTAGTGACTTTTTATTATCCTTGGATAAGTGCATATGCTCTGATGAACTATCCTCTGATTTATCAATTAAAGAACTTGAAAAGGCGTTCAAATTTATTTAAAAAAATAAATCATGTGGACCAGACGAAATAGATGGAAACGTGATTATAGATTGCTTTAAGCAACTAAATGATGTTCTTTTCAAAGTTTTCAATGCCTCAATTAAACAAGGAATTTTTCCAGAACAATTACAAATTGCCAAAGTTACACCTATTTATAAAGAGGGTGACCAATCCCAAATAATTAAATAATTATTGCCCCATCTCTGTGCTCTCTGTATTTTCAAAAATCCTAGAAAGCATTATGTGCAACAATATATAAACACACTGACAAAAATAACCTACTTTATGTTAATCAATTTGGTTTTAAAAAGGATAGCTCAACAGAGCATGCAATTATCCAACTTGATGATGAAATTTCAAAATCGTTCGAACAATCAAAATATACATTAGGTATCTTTATCGACTTATCGAAGGCCTTCGATTGGGTTGACCATCACATCCTACTTGAAAAACTGAAATACTATGGAGTAAATAACCAAGCGTTAAGGTGGCTCAGAAGTTACTTAATAAACAGAAAATAATTTTTTGTTGGTAATGACAACTATCACAACAATTGTTTAAGTATAACCTGTGGAGTTCCACAAGGTTTAATCCTCGGACCCCTCCTTTTTTTAATTTATATAAACAATCTAAATAAAGCAACTAATCTGATGGGCATCATGTTCGCTGATGATACTAATTTATTCATCTCTAAGAGCGATATTAGCGAACTTTTTGCCACAGTGAATAAAGAACTTAAACTTTTATCCAACTGGTTCAAATCCAATAAATTAACATTCTGTCAAAACTAAATGGTCTCTCTTTCATTTCATTAGGAAAAAATAATTTTACCCTTAAACTTTTTTTTCTTTGTTTTTTTTTTTGTATGTATTTTAGTGCTCCCTGAAGTCCTTACGGTCTTATCGTGGAGCACCGCGGGTGAGCATTTAACAGGAAGTTCACGCCTCCTTCCGTACCAATGTCGCTTGTTGGGCCAGAGCTGGCGTCGAACCTCCGACCTCTGGGTTCTGAGCCAGAACTCTAACCACTGCGCCACGGCTGCTCTAGGTCTTGCTCTCCAATCTTTATTGATGAAATTGAAATAAAAAGTTGAAATAAAAAATGAAATTGAAATAAAATAACTTGCCTCCAATCTTTATTGATGAAATTGACATAAAAAGAGACTCCGTTATTAAATTCTTAGATGTTTATCTTGATGATAACATTAATTGGAATCAACATATTAACTATGTATGCACTAAAGTCTGTAAAAACATTGGAGTTTTATACAAAGCTCAAACTTATCTCAATAAGAAAAACTTAAGACAACTTTATTTCTCATTTATTCACTGCTACATAAACTCATTATATTGCCTGGGGAAGTACTGAAAAAAGTAAATTACATCGTCTTTATCGCTGTCAGAAACGAGCAATTCGCATAGCTCGAGTAACAGTTTGCTGATCGTTTTTCTCATTGTAAACCTTATTTTATTTAAATGAAAATTTTAAATATATATTTGAACTTAACGTTTTAAAAATTTTATGCTATGTTTACATGTGGAAAAACAATCTATCACCCCCAGTTTTTAAATATCTTTTCATTTTTCATCCAGCAACAAAACGCTCTTGAAAAAAAAAAAAAAATTAACGAACCTTTTTGTCAAACAAATTTTAATCAATTTCGCTTTGCCTATCGTGCACCGCACCTAAGGAATAAACTTGTTTTACCAAATATTGATTTTGATCGACCATATTCTTTTTGTCTTTTTAAAAACAAAATTAAAAATCTAATTTTTCCCCTCGATAACATTTTAAAGTACTATTAATTAATTTATCTATTAATTAACTTTTTATTATTTATCTCTAAATTTTGTTGTTTACAACTATTTATATTTAAAGATTTACTTATGCAAAAAATCTATGTAAATATTTTACTTTATTGTAACGTATACTTTACAAGGTATTCGTAAATTGATTTGTTTATAAATATTTTTAAGGTTCCGATGATAAGATCTTAGTAATCTTCTTTCGGAAACCTAGTTTACACTATTATCACGATTTGTATATATATATATTTGTAAAGTAGTTTTAATAGTTTATTTTATTGTAAAACGACTTTGGGGTCGTCCATAAATTACGTCACGCTATAAGGGGGAGGGGGTTGGTAGTTTTGTGACGACTCATACAAAACTTGCTTCTTAAGAAGCAATTTATGATTTTGTGACGAAGGGGAGGAGGAGATCAATATCTGTCAAAAAATGCGTGACGTAATTTATGGACGATCCCTTTGTAAACTGAAGAAAGAAAAAATAAAAAAATAAAAAATTACGACGAAGAACTTATCAAAATCTATTCTTTTATTACAAAAAGTGCATCTGAAGCTCAAAGCCAACTCTTATTCTTGAAAAAAAAATCTTTGTATTCAAAATCTTGGTGGACTCCCGAGTTAAGCAGAAGCAAAAAAGTTCTTACATTTTATTTTAAAAAATGGCGTGAGACGGATTTCGAAAAAGATTTAATCTCGTTCATATTTAATCGATATCGAATGACACGTAAAAAATTCCGCAACGCTGTCAAAAAAGCTCAAAATTGTAACTTTTTCAAGGAATACACAAAAATCGAGAAGCTAAAAAATACCAATCCAAGAAACTTTTGGAATACCTTCAGATACATAAAGTCTGATACAAACTAATAACTATTTGCTATAAATAACAAAAAGGACAAGGAATCAATCATTAAAGAATTTGCGGATAGTTTCGAAAAACGTTTAAATACCAAAGCCATTGCTTTGGTATTTAAACGTTTTTCGAATACCACTTCGAATTTTCAAATTCCACCTTGTACCAAATTTGATATGGTAATAATATCAGATTAAAACGGCTCTCTCGCATAAAGTTAAACAAGACCAAAGATGCGTTTGGAATCTCTGCAGAACATTTAAAACATGCGCGTTGCAAAACCCTGACAGAGTGGCTAAGGAAATTTTTTAACTTTATTATTAACCACGGTCAGGCTTTGAAATCGATGTCTACATCACTCATTATACCTCTTGCTAAATCTTATAAAAAATCATTAATTGATCCGAATAACTACCTTGGTATTAGCATCATTCCAATCTTTACAAAACTAATAGAATATCTTGTTTTAATAATCTGTCCTGAGATAAAAGAAACTCATCCACTTCAATTCGGTTTTACAAAACCTGACATGCCGAATTTGTTATAAGTGAAACAATGAAAAATTACAACAACAGCAACTCACCTGTCTATCTCTGTTCCCTAGCTGCTGAAAAAGCATTTGACAGCTGTAGCTGGAACATTCTATTTGGGAAACTATACGAAAATAAAAAATTACTACTTTATATTTTTAATACTGTATCGTCATTGTACCATGAAAGCAGTGCTGTTTTATCTAGGATGCAAATCCTATCCATTTTATCTAACACAAAGAGTGAGACAATGATCGATTTTGTCTCCTTACCTGTATAATATATATACTCAAAGCCTACTTGAAACCATACAAAATGAAAGTATCGGAGGGACATCAATTTATGGAAATTACAGAGGTGTTGTAGCATACGCTGATTACATCATACTTCTTAGTTCTACCTGGTCTGGAATTAAAAAGCTTATAGCAGCTTGTAATATATACACTAATGCAAATTGTATAAAGCTGAATGCTAATAAGACCGAGTTCTTGTTTACTGGAAAAAAAAAATTGCAAACTGCTCGATAACAGTCGACCACCAACAAATAAAACCGGATGATAAACTTAATCATCTAGATTTTATATGGGATACTAAAAGCTCTTATTTTGCCTCACTTAATCGTTCAAATATTGATAATAGAATATCAAAATTCAGGGCTATAATCCAAACTCTTATTCAGTCTAGAACCCGCTTTGCTCATCCAATTTCTATCGTTCAGCTATATAAAACATTGGTGGTTCCCGTGTTACGTATGGTCTAGAACTTTGCGTTTATAAAGACGTATTAATGCAAGGTCTTGATATAAGAGTTTTGAAACATTTAAGAGTGACTTACTTAAGTCACTCGTAAATGTTTCAAAACACATCAAAAACTATACTCATTCTTTGTTTAACATCTAAGATGTATTAAAAATCGTACAGCAAATCAAGTTAAATTTATTTATTCGCATATTGAGCAATAAAATAACCTTTGGTATTGTAAATTCGCAGTTTATAAACCAAACCGCTAAGCACCCTTTTCTAGGTGATATCATTGGTTTATGCAATCGGGATGAACTAAATCTAGAGAACTTAATGCAAAACAAAAAAAAAGTAAAAATTATTGTGTTGAAAAATATAATTCTTAAAAAAGGTCTTCAAAGGTTAAGCTATGCAATTGAGTTCTGGAACTTATTGGAGCAAAAAATACTTTCAAAGATATTCTTGAAGTAAATATTCCAAGATAAACTTATTTCTTTTCAAAAATGTAACTTTATAATAATTTACCTTGTATTATATACAGTGGGTAATAAATATAAATATAATTAGTAAACAAATTGTTTGAATATGCGGTTACTATATTAGTATTGAACTGGTTTTAGCAGAATTTTCTATTTTTTCAGATTTAAATGTTTTCAATCAGATTATTATAAACCTTAATGTTTGGGTTAAGGTTATCTAAGTAAAGCCATGATCCAAGCAAGCATTGTAAACTTCAAAATAGGAACCGCAGTTGTAATTGAAAACTTGCAAAATTGGTACTGTACATGTTTTGGCTTGCAAAGCTGCTCAGTTGTATGTTTTTATTGCTTTTTATTAAAAAATTTGTGCTGGTAAATATCAAAAAGAGTGTACAAATAACAAATTTTCTTTAATGAAGAGCATAGTTTTATTTTATTTCTGAAAATTGTTTTGCATTTTGATTATATCTCGATTTTAGAAATTATTTTTATTCATATTAGTTAATATATTTTTTTAGATTTGGATTTTATATCATTTTAAGATATTTTCGTATAACCTTCATGAAGAAGATAACATATTTAAAATATAAAAGTAATCTATTTCTGTTAGTTTCGATAAATATGTCATAAAAAAATCAATGAGATGACACCTTTTTTAATGTTATGCTTTTTATTTATTTTGAATACATTAAAGTGTAGATGTGTATAGTAGTTCTATTGGTTTAAGGTTAAGTTAAGCTAAAGGTTAAGGTTTGCTATTTATTTCACGACATATTTAAAGCTGTTTAACAAGTTATGCAAATTAAGGTGTGAGTAAATTTATAAATTACTATTTACAAATTGAATGAAAATAGAACATGTATGATAAATTGATAGGACAGCAGTAATTTTATTTTTGTTTTTTAGGTATTGGAAGGCTGTACTTAACAACTTACCTTCCTGTAACGAGGTTAAAACAACCTCTAACCAATTTAAAATATTTTTCATAGCAGCTTTTTCTAAGATTTTGCCTTTTATTTTATTTACTAATTAGATTACTTGTATTTCATAATTTCTTTAACTTATTTTTGGAGATTGTTTAATGCTGATTTTTTACCAAATTTTAAGTATATAAAATTATTTTACATATAGATTTTTAGTTTTTTAATGAATAATTTTTTTCAGGAGTAAAATTGTAATTGCAATGTACATTTTTTGTAATGATTTTTTTGCAAATATCAATTTGATATTATGTTATCAATGTGAGAGTGCAATCTCGAGTTATAATTAATAAACGGATGAAGTTATCCTATGATCCTTACGCTTGTTTTCTTATAAATCAAATACAAGTTGAGCGCAAAATGTCTGTACCAATAGAAACCACTCGCAGAAAACTTTAAATATTGATGGGTCTATTAAAATTTTATGGTTATTTTTACACGATTTCCATTTACTATGACTGTGAGTTTGATAACACGCGCAAATTGGCAATCGGGACATTTTTAGACAAAAAATTAACGCCGTAAATAATATGCTGGATAAAATTAGATAAAGAATTACCACCCTCATTCCAAATGCAGCATACCCATTTAAAAAGCGACACATTCATGTTGCTGGCCGTAACAATGCAAAATCGTGGACGGCCATCAGGTCCCATCAATGCTGAACTTGAGCTCTTGTGTAATAGCCAATAATTTACAAAAAATAAGCTAAGTAACCATTTTGAGCTCAAACAATTCATACCGCCTGTCCATCATTACTTTTATCTTGCTCTTAAATGTGACGAGGAACAGAGCTGTTTTCAATTCACTTTGGACCAAGTCTTAAGACACTAAGTAACATGTCAATTTGAGTCTCTAGTCATACGATAAAATATTCCAGTGTTGTGGTGGCTACATTCAAGCAATCGAATTGCAATTATAAAATACAGCATGGGCATTATATAAATTATAATTTTAGACTTTATTATATTAAAGTAATATTTCAATAATACTGTGATGTCGTTCTAGTCTGAGTGACAGTTCTTTTTATAGTTGGAGGTGTACGTAACATGTTCGGTTATTTATTAAACACCAATACCCAGTTAGCATCGGACATCCATACATTATTTTTATTGTTATTATTGTTATTATTATTATTATTATTATTATTATTGTTATTACTATTAATATATTATTATCTTGTTGTTGTTGTTGTTGTTGTTGTTGTTGTTGTTGTTGTTGTTGTTGTTGTTGTTGTTGTTGTTGTTGTTGTTGTTGTTGTTGTTGTTGTTGTTATTGTTGTTATTAAGACAGGGTACTCTGTTCTGAATAAGTCAGAATTAGCACTAGCTAATTCTGACTTATTCAGAACATAAGTTACAATTAGCAAAATGCTCAATAAACCAAACTAAATAGGAGTAAATAAAGAAGTAATGTCTAAAAATAATTATATACATTTAATAAACATTAGGTTTATTGAACATATATAATTAATTGTGGTTTCTACTTACAATTTTTAGACTAAGAAAGAGTTTTCCTTAGTTTTTTTGATTTTCTTTCAAAATTTCTAAATATACTTTCCTAAAAAAAAAAAAAAAAAAAAATTAGAATAGTCTCATTGACTTTAAATTAAGTTTAATAATATCTTTTCAAGTGTTAAAAAGTTTGACCAACCATGACTCAGAAAAATATAATATTAAAAAAAATCTACTGGGCTCTTTTATACCCATTCAGCATTACTATATAAACAACGGCTCTTAAACACAAATATGCAAAAAATATATATTATTTATTTTATATTATCACAGAAAACATTCTTGAATTATTTTTTTTTTTCAGCAAGTTCATCTTCTTTAGCGCCTCTTGTGTATGTCCGAGTTTTCCACATTTACGATATTCACAAAATCTTTTGCAATTATTTAATATGTTTTTATCATCAGTCTGCAGTAAATTTCTTTTGTATTTATTTGTAATGACATCTGTCTTGATTCAAATTCATAACCCTCTTGTTTTGAAGGAGTAGATACTTTGCATGGTTATAATTTTCAAACACTAACAGATAATTAAATGAAATTTGGAAGCTATCGATGAAATTAAATTTAGTAAAAAAATAGGTGGTAAAATTAAATATTTTGTTAACTCTTTGACATACAAGCTATGGGTATACTCTTTAAGTGTGTTTTTGTTCCCAGGCTTCAATCCAATCACCATGATTATTTTCAAACCATTCTAATTCAACATAAGCATAGACTTAATTAAATTAAGAGTTTTCACAACGACTGGAAATATCATATCTGAAACGCCAATAAGTCCTGGATAACAATAATACAAACAAGTTCTGACATCAATAAGTCCTTGAATGTCAAACTTGCATCGACAACTTAAATTCAAACTTAAAAAAAAAAATATTGAAATCTTTTTTTTTCATTAAAATATAAAATAATTATATTATATATAATTTATCAAGTTTTCACAAATTTTCTCTTTTTAAAGGATTTTACATGATCAACAACTTCGCTGATAGAGATAATTCTTTTATTATTGAAAAAAGTGTTGATAACAATTCTTCCAGGAAGTTTTATCCCAGTTTTCTCAACCATAGAACAAGAAAAAGTCTGAAACGAGTCATAAAAGTGGTTTTACAATTATTCTAATGCTTTTCATACATGTAAATTAATTATTTTTTAATTTTGTTATAAACGTAACCAAACGATATACAAACATAATCTAAAGGTGACGGTGAAGGAATAGTGATATCACCCCCTGATATCACCCCCTGATATTTTTATGTTGATCAATATTGATGAATGCACATCAATATTGATCAACATAAAAATTCTTTACAAGATGTACTAAAATGTTTTTTTAGTTAATTTTATATGTATCCAGCACCCTATATAACCCTACTTTCTGTTCAAGTGTCATGATTTCTCGAGTACACTGAGCTTTATCGATATCAAGAAGAAAGTTTTTTTAAACCTGTTAAATTATCTTCTGACTCGAGTGGTACTTTCAAACTATCATCAAAGTTTTTATTTTCTATAACTATACTTTTGATTTTCAATATTTTTTCAGAAATAGTGACATCTTTTAAACTAATTAAAAATCTTCCATTGCTCATTTGTCTATATTTTCCAAAGCTCTTTTCAATTGGGTCACTTTGAAATCTCCCAGTTAAAACAAAGTGATATCCATTATTAAGTAAACTTCTCACATCTTTTGTGATTGACAAGCTTCAATCTTGGATCTTCAATCTTTTCAATCTTCAAGCTTCATTTGTGCCACTGATTAAATCGATTAAATTAAATGAGTAAATCGCTGCAGATTTCAAAAATTCGCTAAAGAAACAAAGAAAATTATAAGGGTTTAACACTTTGTAATTGTTTGCGTAAAGCACCAAAAATAACACGTTATTTTTGGTGCTTTACGCAAACCAGCATCAAGAGTGAGGTCTTTTCGTAAATATTGTTGAAGGTGCTCTATTTAATTTCTCCCCTACATACAATTATAAAATCTTTAATTCATAAACTTAAAATCTGGAAATAAAAATCTTTTACAACTTAACAAGTTATTTTTGAAAGTTTCAACAACAATTTAAAACAATTTAATAACAAGATTTATATCTTGATTTTTATATTTATATCAAGATTTTAATTTCCAGATTTTAAGTTTAATGGATTAAAGTATAATTTAATAATAAATTATAATAGTTTAATTACAATAAATTATAATAGTTTAATTATAATAATTTATAATAGTTTAATTATAATAAATTATAATAGTTTAATTATAATAAATTATAACAGTTTAATTATAATAAATTATAATAGTTTAATTATAAAAAGTTATTAAAAGTTCAATAACAAAATTTAACAAGATACTTTGGCTTGTTGATTTGATGCACAAAGCATTTTTTTTAAACAATAAAGATTAGAGGAATTGTTTTCACACACAATAACTCTAACATTAAATTCACATTTGGTTAGAATATGAAACATTTAAAAATTTCTTCTTTCAACCATTAAGGATTGTTTGTTTTTTCAAGTGACGTTTTAATCACTTATGGAATATTTTGTTTCAAGCCAACTATCATTAAACAAACTATTCCCTTAATCATTTTTTCTAGACTCATCACTATCAATGATCTCTCCAGCAAAGTACTCTTCACATTTTTGCAAGTACATTTCATCAAAAATTAAGCAAATGTCTTGAGATATTTTACCATCTAATTTTAAATGTTTCGCACAACTTAGAGTATCAGTATTTCCTCTAGCTATTTTTTTAAGTAACGAAAATGACGGTAAAGACAATTCTTCACGCAAAAATTGGTATGACTAAAGCACAACAACGACAAATGTTTGTACTTTATTCTTTC